TCGCAGCACTCGAGCTCCAAGCTGGTGGTGCAGCGGCTGGTGGTGTGGTGGAACCCCAAACCTACGCAGAAACAATTAAAAAGTGAGCTGGGCTTGTGCTGCTGGTGTTGTGGGCCCCTCTCGGCCTGCTATGGCCAACGCACCCAGCGCGAGGCCGGCAGCCACGGACCCCAGGGTGCTGGCCTTGGCTGCTCAGGTTACCGAGAGCAAAGATGAGGACGTCCCGGTGTTGCTTCTGCAGTTAAAGGGTAATTAATACCTTTTCTAAAATAAAAGGATGAGATAGTGAAGTATGGATAGGCTTTTTTCCTTCTGTCTGGTTAAATTCAGAAAGTTTTTTCCCCACATTTCTAGCAGGGCTGGAAATTCCATAGGCTTGGTAATACAGCTTCTCCTGACAGTTGTACCTGAGTAGCATTTGGCTTGGGAGCACAAGGGAGGATGAGAGGGAAAGGGAATGGAGGCAGCTCTTCTGTCGCTCTCCGTTGTCACCATTTTTGTAAGGCCTGTGCTAATGTGGCAAGGATCTCATGCTTGGTTAAATAATTTCTCCCAGTGCTTTTGGGTAGAGAGCCAGAGGGGCTGAGAGTGATTGTTAGTAAGCAATTTTTAAGTCTTAATGCAGAAACACAATCACAAGCTCCTGCGTGAGTCCCCATACCCTCCCCTTGGACGCATATCCGCTGCCCATAGAAACGGTAGCAACAAGTTAGGTCCTGTTCTAAATGGGGATGTAATTACGAGGAGGTTATACGTTTCACAGTGGCTTTTCATTGTGGTTTTACTTGGCCTAGGAAATTCATACGAGTGGGATACATCCCAGATAATGTATGTTTTACTACTTGAATGTATAATGAGAAAATGGAAATCTAAACTCGGTTGTCCTTCCTAATTGTCATATAATTTAACAAATACATTGTAGCCATAGGAGTGAAAAATGCTGATGAAATGTTTTATGTTACCACTTTTAGAATTACATTGATCCTAGTGTGTGTACACATATTATCTTATGTTTTGAAAAAAAAATGCATTGTTTTGTCAGACTCATATGCTCCTCCTAGCCATTTTCCTGCTTTCTTCCCACAGCAATTTTAAATAGTGCTTCCTTGGGATGTAAAGAATCAAAAAAAATTAAGCAAGAAATATACTATTATGATCTTACTCAGTACTGCATGCTGGTCCTTAGACAAGACTATTCTCGACTACAGGGAGGCTGGACTACTGCTGCCCAGCTAGCAGAGATACTAAGGTAAGAAAAATTACTCCGAAGTTTTCTTCTTGTTTCTTCTGGGCCTTCATCTTACTCTTTTTCTTTTCAAGCTGTAATGCATTGGCTCACATCCAGAACAAGGCTTGCTGTTCAGGAAAGGCCAGGGTTAAAGTGCAGGGAGCAGTCAAGAGCAAAGGGGTCAGGCACAGCCTAATTGGTCCTGCTTAATTCGTTTCCATTGTGTTGCACTGAGCTGTGCAAACTGTTTGGTGGCACCAGTATGTGTTGGGTTTACCCTTTTTTGTGAACAGAACTCTTCTATGTCACAATATTTGCTGAGTAATTGCTAATTTTGAAGGGCAGTTATTTAAAAAATTGGTTATTTAAAATTCATTTGTAAAAATCTTCAGCCTGATTAACTCATAGCTTGGCTTGAGTAAACATATCTATTTAAATTTTAAATGTAATAGTGGATACAATTAATACAGACCGGATAGCTTGATGTAGTGGTTTAATTAAGAAGATCATAATGTAGTTTAATTCATAGCTAGCAAATACGGCAACTTTAACTTGAATCCCATGATCTAATCTCAGTTTTAAATGTCAGGAAAAATAATTAACTTTTAAGTTTTCCCCAAGTTGTACTTGATTTTGGGTTAACTAGGGAGCAACGTTCTAAGACATGACAAAATTAAACAGCCATCTTGTATTTATACCATATCTGCAATACAAATTTGTAGTGCTAGGAATTTCACTAAGAAATACAAGATTTATCACCAGGGCCGTATGATACTTAAAGCATCTCTTGTAAGCTATTTCAATTTGCAGAGAAAAACGAAATTTATTTTAGTTGCAAAAATATCCTTTTGCAACTACAGGAATCTCAGCTTCCTCTGCCTAGAATTTGTTTTCCAAGGGCTTCAGTAAGCAAAGCTCTACATTTACACATTCACAACAAGCTAACACAGCTCAGATAATATGTCAGAAAACAAAATCCATGAAAAGTTATGAAAACTCTTTTGTTGCACAAGTGTCAGTGCAGAGTAGAGTGAAAAAACTCCCAACTGTGAAACTTGCAGAGCAGTTTCTTGTGAACTGTCTTCCAGAAATGACCAATATGCTTGTAGTAGGTAAAATAATAAAACTCAGATCTGAGGAACTGATTTCTAGCCCACATGTATTCCTCAAGTAGAGGAAAGTTATAGGCAGAATCACTGAAGATTTTTTTTATACATATTTTCATTGCCTGGTCTGCATCCACTTTATCAGGTTTATGTCTGCCTTTCTATTTTACTCTTTTTCCTGATGACCATCAGAGCCCCTAACTAACATGCTGAACAGACCTGCACAGGTCCTGTGACACTAAAGGGGAAAGTGACTTGGCATGCTGTAGTAAGTAGTAATATCCTTGCAGTCTCCAGCCTCACAGTGATTCCTCTTCCTTCTAAGGCAGCTACCTTGGAGTTAGTCACAGCAGTTAACTGTTGTTCAGTGCTAAATTATCTCATTCCAGTCAAGCATTTCTTCTGTGATGACATGACATTCATTCAAAGCTGTTCAGACAGGCCCTGGACTATTCAGGTTGGATTGTGTTTCTCATTTCAGTCATTGTTGTGTGGGACTAGAGGTGAAAGAAGATCCTGAGGAATTTTACAAGAAATTTCTTCCTTTAGCTATAGACAACCTGCTGTTTTTGGGAAGACGCCTGCAAGCACGATTTATCCGAGCAATCAAGGTATTTAAATTTCATAGTTAAAGGAGCAAAGTACCTCTGTAAATTTCCCAAGCTTTTATATTCTATGAGTAGGATATTATTCTAGGTATACTGTATGATGAAATTTTATTTTCCAGAAATTACAAAAATTTGTCTTATATCGTGGAGCTTAGAAACTGAAATGTGTCGTCTTGGAGCATTCAGTCTATTATGAGTATAAAACTAGTTTATTACCATACGTTTGTTTAGAGTGTTTGGCTACTACTTGTAGGTTGTTTTTAAAAAGGGCAAAAAAGAGCAATTATAAGTCGGATAGAAGAATTAGAAGAGTAAGATAGAAGAAGAATGCCTTACCAAAAGGGAGCCTCCCAATCATCATAGTGTCTTTTTTTTTTAACTTTGCATATAGTTACTTCAGTCTTTGCAGTTGCTGTGTTCTTAATGCTTTACTGAACTTTACAAAAAAGAAAGTACAGTTTAGGACATCTTAAGGCAGTAGACTCTAAGTCAGAGATGTTGAAATCTGTTTTGCCGTATAATTTCTGCAGTGAAATTGGCAAAAAAATCTGAAATTGTTCACCGATTCTGAATTGTTGGGAACCCCAAAGAGAGGCTTTGCAAATTAGTAGATATAAGCACTTTCTCTAAGTTTCCTCATGCATTTGAAGCAATCAGAGGTCCAGAATCAGCAAAAAGATTTCAGAATAATTGAAATAAAGAAAATGTCAGAATCTATGAGATTGGTTTAATTTCCTTTTTTCCCTTATTTCCCCTTAGTGTCTCTTTTTTTGGTTTACTGATTTCTTGCATTTAGTCAAAGCTTTTCTATAGCGTTTAATGCTGGGTGCCACAAATGTAATCACTTCTCAGAAAAAATCATTAAATGGCATTCTTTCCGTTAGTTCAATACTTTTAAAGTGCATGTAGTGCTTAAGAAGCAGACTTCCTGAATGACATCCCAGGAGACTTGAGTCTTACCTGCAATATGTAATTTCCCCCGCACTTTCTTATTATGTATTTCAACCTACATGTTCCTTGAGTCATGCCTGTGAGCAACGATTATTCTTGAATGCAAATGCAGTCTATACTATAGTCAGGCTTTTAAAATTTGTGGTCTCAGAGGTGACTGGGCACCCAGACTTGATGCTGGCTCTGTGGAACTTTGGAAATCCCACTCTACCAGCAGAGATTTGTAGTTTATTCTGGCCTCATTTGCTTTCTGTACAAGCCTCTGAAGTCAAGAGAAGTACTGAAATAGCTACCAGAAACTAACATATCCCCGAAACACAGAACAGATATTGTTATGCCTTAACTTAGTACTATATTTTGTGTCTCTCATTGTCAGTATGAACCAAATATAGTGTTAAATCATGACGGATGGTTGGGACTTCCAGCTCAGCTATAGAAATGTCCTTTCCAGAGTTTTATTTGTGGAAGTTCACTTACAGAGGAAGCTATCAGACTGAGTGTTGTATAACAACATTTGTCAGCAACATTGAACTATCAAGAGACCCTTAGCTGTCCACACACCAAGGCTTTAGGTTTCCAGTGGCCTGTGGATCACACTTGGAATACAGACTTTTGACTGTGTATGTGTGTTCATGCATTAAAACCTGAATTCTTCCAGGTCATTGTGTCCAGTCAAGTGTTATCCCAAGCAAACACATATGCAGTCTGTTTCGTAAACTGGTCAATCTTCAGCTTAATAGTGGTTTGGATTTTGCACCTAGACCTCCAACTCGGGACTGTATCCGAAGCCACACTGTGCCAGTCCTTAGCAACCTTCTGCATTTGAATTGCATCTTTGGCTGCTTCACATCATTTAGTTTTGTGCTTTAATCTCAAATAACTCTATTTCCCATTTTTGGATTAAATCTTTGATACATTTGTGCTGAGCTGTTATCTGTCGTCTCAGCCCTCCTGTGCCATCAAATATTTTTTTAAGGAATTAACAAGTCTTCTCCATCCCTATTATGATATTTTCAAGAATGGATGCTTTTTTTGTATTCTTTATTGATTGATCTTTAGCCTGGAAGGATTTACAGGTTTTTTTTTTTGACTTGATCCTGGGGTTTGACCAACCTGATTTGGGAAGTTCCTGGTGGAGTTGGTCTCAAAATCCCTGAAACACAGACTTTCCCACTACATCAAGCTATAGTCCTCAAGGAAGATACGTACACGTGCATTTATCTACTCCTCTTTTGTTTAGGATAAAGAAAAACAAGATTTTTTACGCTGTTTTCATACAGTAACAGATGCCATCTGCTGGCTGTTCGGTGGGCATATTCAACTAACGGAATGTGGTAAGAGAAAATTAAACTCACAAAACACTGAAAAATTGATTTTCACTCTCTTAAAATAGTTCATTATTCAACAGAAGCAGCAGTATTTAAAATGGAAAAGATCCACTAAACGGAAATATTAAAGAGTTACCCTTGTATTCTTTTGAAGACAAACAGTAAAGGTGTCTTACTGCAATTTCCCTTTGTAATTCTCTATCTTTTAAAAAATCTGGGTTTTATTGTTTTTTTTTCCCTCTGGTAAAATGCAGTTGATCTCGTTAATCTGTCTCTGTATATGCAGAAATTTGAGCAGAGCGCATAACAAGCCCTAAAAAGGGACAGACTTGGCAACAGATTTCTGAATTTTTTTCTGTGCCAGAAAATTTTATGAATATCTAAGAAACTTTACACTTTGGACAAAATAAGTTTTCAACGAAATGTTAGTCACACTGATTCCTAGGTGATGGTAAAAAGCAGAATTTGTTTTTGTTTCTAACAAAAACTTAAGGATCGTAAGATGTTTAACTAAAAATGGAATGACTAGCAAAATTACTAAACGTGCAAACAATGATACACTTGAATAAAAAACAATCATACTTTAATGACATCAGTGGACTTACATTAAATAAACCTGGTGTAACAACCTATCAGGTTTGAAGTGCTTATCTTTTCTGGATATTGCTGCCCCCGTGATAACACTACAGCTTTAACAATAAGGAGGTGTAAGTGTAACATAAAAGGTTTTAAAGACTTTTGTCATTGCAACACCAGTGCCTAATGGATTTCCAAAGACAGAAAAATCAGGGCTCAACATGTTTTTAAGATGTTGAAGGAGTTTACTTTTCCGGTAAGTTTTGGTGTAAAAAAAAAAATATAAAAGTAGAGGAAGTCCACTCTAGAAACACTATGTGATTTTTTTTTCTTTGTTATGGCTTATGTTCCATAAAAATACTATAAAAACAAATATTACAGCCATGGTTCACATTGCTTGACTATTTGTTTGTTTTTCTTTTGTTGCAGTCCTGCAAAATGATCATTTCCTGCAGTTGCTAATAACAGATGATATTGAAACAGGAATTATAATGATGTCTGTTTTAAGCAATATTTTGAGGGTCAATAGGTTAGTTGCTTTTATATCTTTGTTTCCTTTCTGAATTATAAATTTAAAAATCAATTTATTACTGCTTTGTAAAATAGAAGCATTTGCATGCACAAAAATTATGGTTATTTCTACAGCCTTTCTTGCAGAAAGGAAAAATTTGTTATTTTCTTTATACTGTTGTTAAATTGAGGCAATGGGAATAAGTTTGAAAAAAGCAACTAGTAGTGCCTCTGCCAATGAGTCATTGGCAGTCATGAATAAGTTACTAATACTGGTTTTTTGATTTTAATTGGAATTAACACGAGAATATCAACTCATTGACAAAAAGAAAAATGCTATTCACTTCGTTTTCTTCTCATCCTGGATCAGATTGCTGGTGCAGCTAGTTGGGCATGTTGAATTGCCCAACGTCTAACATTTCTAAGAGGAAGTCACTGTTAAAAAGCTCATAGTTTATAACGCTTCTCTCTCTCTCTCTCTCTCTCTCTCTCTCTCTCTTGCGTGCTCTCTCTCTTCTTTTTTTTTTTTTTTTTAAATCAAGTCCTGTCTTGCTTCGTGTTGGTGAGAAGATTCTCCACTCTGTTTTGGATGAACTTGTTTATAAGCTTTCATCTACCACCAATCCTGTCATAGGAAATGCTGCTACAAAACTGCTACTTTCACTGGCAAAATTTTGTGAGCAACTTGTGAAGTTACTCACAACTCGCTACAAAGGTTTGTAAATATGCATGGGACCAATGGCTCAGCTTCTCCTTTCATTCGATTTAAAAATACAAGGGTGGAGGTTGCCCAGCGGCATCTCAGTTCTCAGAGAGAACCTGCAGTGCTGCTTGTTCCCCTCTCCCTGCCCCGCCTGCCTTGTTCATTTTCATTGTAGTTTAAGGTTTTGTCCCTATTTCTGCTTCCTAGATTTTTTTCTTCTGTGCATTGGGGACTTTTCATATGGTAACTTGCCTCTTGTAGTTGTTGTTTGTTACTTTCAATATGGTTCTCCTCTTTCTATGTGAAGTAGTGCATCTTCTTTCCTGCAAAGTTTGGATATTGATGGATCCTAGGTAGCAGGTACCTGCACTGCTTCAGTGAGGGCTGTGTGTTGGACGTCTACCAGTCTGCTAAGCCTCACTAGTTCAGAAGCTTGGAAGTTTTGCTTAAAGCCATCTTTTGATCCTGGCTATTACAGGTCTACTCATCTGATAGGTGCTGCTCTGCTACTGAGGAGTTAGCTGTCTTCAGATGTAGAGGGGATCGGAGTGAACCCCTTCCAAAGAATTCATCAGATGAGTTTATCATTCTGACCTGATGCCTTTAGATGAGGAGACTGAGTGTGCATATAACCTGCTGTCTTTTCTTCACTATTTAATGTGGAGTCCCATTTAATGTTTCTGCCTTCAACCGAGCAAGGAGCTCCAGCATTCCCCTTCTTTCTCTGCTCCCGTGTCCACAAAGACTAGAAAAAAGGATTTAATGCTTGCTAGTGCTTTTATATTCTGATTATCATTGATGGTCACAGCTGCTTGTGGGAAGCCTTAATCTTTTTGGGACAAGGGCAATAAACAATCCCTAGGCAAGGGCAAGAGCAATCTCTAGACCAAAAGGGACTAATCCCTTTTTTTATGACTGACTACTTATTAGCCAGTGCTAGCCAGAGAAATTTCTGAATCAGATGGGCCGCTTTTACCATTCTTACCTACAAAATTGAGAGAAGACTTCTTTTCAATATGAAGTGAAATACAGCTTGCCTCATGCTGGTATGCTGTGGATTTTTCTGAAGCTGTTGTGATGGGCTGATCATCCCAGCTGTAGAACAGTGCCTTGTCTAAAGAAATGCAAGTCTCCATCAAAGAAATGTGCTTTAGGGGTTATAGTTTATTTTGCTCCAGAATCAACAAAATGCCACAGCCATTTAGAGACTCTTCCTTCTGTGTGTATTTCCTGTTTCCGGTAAGAAAAAGACCACTTCTTTTTTTAAGTTAGAGCCCTTATGTTAGCTTTTACTCAGGCTCTGGAATCCTTTAGATTGTTGTTGCTGTTCCTCAAACTAAGAAGCATTACAGCATTACAGCATTTTCACCATCTGGCCATCTCATTGAAGTAATTTGGCTTCACAATGATTCAGAGCTCTTACCAGTATGAGGTACTTCAGTGTTAGCTTTCTGTCCACCGCCCTGTGGTGAGGAAATCCCCTAAAACTCACACCTTCAAGGTTAGCAGTCTTTACTTGAGGATTCCAGGAGGGCCTGGTATTTCTCTCTGCGTTGGATGACATGTCCGAGAGGCACTCTTAAGCTGCTACTTGTCGCTAGCTGAAAGGTCCGTAGATAGTGCTGTGTAGTCTTCAGAAACTGGCAAATGGGTCATGTCAGACCTACAGACTTCTGTGAGGAACTCCCTTGTGTGGCCAAGCTACTTGCTGTTGCAGAGGTCAGGCAGTCTTGGGGTACCTACTGGCTCTATCTGGCGTCTCACACATGTCTCTTCCAAAGTTTTGAACCGTAACTGTCACTCCAAAGTGGTGCATGTTTGATAGAGCAGAGGTGCTGTTTCTGTTTGCAGGAAGGATTTTGTGTTCCATATCCAAATCCTGTAAGTGTTCATGATGGATTCTTGCTTGGAGTTGCCCAATGTGTGAAGTTGCTTATGGATAATGACTTGAGGACAGAAAAGTTATCTGAAACTGGAATTCTTCAGGAGTCATCAAATGCACACCTGCTTCCTGATGTCCTTTTCCCCTCAGACTCCCTGGAAAACTCTCAAGCTCTGTGATTTCTCTGAGAGAGAGCTAAGAAGGCATATGTAACTGTCTACATTGTGTCCTTCTGTGTGCAGCACAGGGTGTATGTGTGTGTTGAGGGAGCACAAGGGCACTTTTCAGCTACTTTGAGCCTAAAAAGTTATTTATCTCGAGGACTGGGCACACAGGGATACTATACTGTAGAGACAGACATCAAAGAATTCCAGTTATAAGTAAATAAATGTTATTGTGAAAAATATGAAAGTAGTGCTAATAAAACCTCACACTTGCATAGTGCATTACATCCTCTTAGAGCCTTACAGAGACTTACTGGTAAGAAGTATATTTAAGTGCCAGTTATGTGGACACACTAAGTAGTGATTTGAGCATGCAAAACTATAATTGTATAATGCTGCTGTGATGATTGGAGCACTAGGTATTCATTGATAATATTGTCTATTGAAATTCAAAGATAACTGATTGTATTCAGCTCTAGTCTAGTGTTCCTTTACACATAGAATCAAATTTGATTTTTTTGACTTGAAAAATGTTAGTTTGAAATCCTGAAAAGAAAAATTCACCTTTGCACTATCGCATGCTTATTATTCTCTCTCTCTCTCTCTCTCTCTCTCTCTCTCTCCTAGGACTAAAAGTGCTTTTAAGTAAGCAGTGGATGGGCAAAGGATTTGACAGAGATCTCAGTCAACTTTTGGACCTGCTATACTTGGAACAGTCCAATGGAAAAGGGGAAATGCAGGTGCTGAATTTTAATGAAGCTTTCATATGTGAAATCCTAGTTACATGTGATTTATATATGTTTATAATGGATTTACTATATCACTTTGTCTCAGTTTTTCAAAGCTTGTGTTATTTGTTCACTATATCAATGGACTTTTTAAGTTTCCTCTTTATTCATTTTCTTCCTATCACTGTTGAAGACATCAAGAAATTGTCTTATAATTAAGGTCCTGGAATGTGACTCAAGAGGTTGGCTTTATTTTGTGGATTCACCATAGATTTCCAATACAACCATAGAGAAATAATTTAATTTCATTTTGTTAACTATAAAATAAAAATAACTTTATCTGCTCATTTCACAGCAGTGTTACAAACGTAGATCTCTGAATTCTTGGGAGCATTCACCTAGAATTAAGAGCCATATACTCCAGATGAGAAAATGTTCAATAAGAATATCTTCTGGGCTGTGTTCTCAGGAAAAGAGCAGATTTTGGTAATAAGTTTTATGAACTTATTACCAAAATTTTACATGCAGGTTTCTCAGAGATAATAGTTCAAAGGAAATCAGTGTTATATTTGTAGAGACCTGTTTGCATCTTAAATAGAGCAGGATTTTTTTCTGAAGAATTACCATGTAAAAATATAATTGATTTTTTCCATGTTTGTTGCATTGCAGTGATTTCTGACCGTACTGAAAATAGTAATGTTTTCCTTAATGTTACTTCTGCAAATTTCTTTCTGTCCTCTCTAGCATAGGTATTTTGAGTTAACACTTGAAATATCAAGTGCTTCAGTTGTTTTAAATTCAAATTTCTAACATTAGTTCGTGCAGCTAATATATATTTTATATTTGTGCTGTGGATTCATCTGTTTACCAAAAAAACATTGATCGAGATGATCAGGGGAGCTGCCTTTGGAGCAAATGGATAGGGTTCATGGTAATAATTTTCTTATAGGAGCTTAAATTCACAAAACTGTAACAGAAACACTGCATCTTCATGCATTTCACAATTGATATTATTTTGGCCAAACACTGAGATTGTTCCAGATATGCAAGTGGTAATGAAGTGTTTTTGTATGCAGAGAAAATATCCCACTGACTGCTTTATTAATTTCAGAGGCAGCATCAAGCAGCTTGTTTAATCCAGGCTACGTGGAGGGGATTTCAGACAAGGAAAAGACTAAAAAAGCTTCCTCAAGCAGTGACTGCTTTACAAAGAAGCTTCAGGTAAACAACGTTGTTTTGTAAAAAGCATTCAGGAGAAGAATCTAATAAAAAGATTTGGTTTGGTTTGGTTTTCCTCAGGTCATACAGTCACAGGAAGAACTTAGGAGGTCATCTAATCCAACCTCGTGCTCAAAGTGGGGCCAGCCTCAAAATTAGATCGGGAAGCAGGGGCCCATGTCTAGTTCTGGAGATCTCCAAGGATGGAGATTCCACAACCTTCCTGGGCCCCTGTCCTGAAGCTGCACCATTCAACTTGTGAAAAATTCTTTCATTTAGAGGCAGTGGGAATTTTCCTTATGGCAACTTGTTATCTGTGCCTCTCGTCCTTCAGCTGTGTAACTCGTAAGTCTGGCTGTGTCTTCATTGCCCTCCCTTTAGGTAATGGAAGACAGAAATTAGATCTCTTCTCCCTTAGCCAGGCTAAACAAAGCCAGCCGTTTGCCTGTGCTCATATATCATTCACTCCCGCCCCCTAACTGTCCCCATCTGAACTCTCTGCAGTTTGTCAGTATTGGTCTTATACTGGGGGTGCCCAAAATGGACAGTATTTGAGGTGTGCCCTCATGAGTGCTGAGTAAAGGGAAGTAATAATTTCCTTTGACTTGCTGCTTTAGCTTTTGCTAGTGCAGCCCACTCTGCAGCTAGGCTTTGTTACCGCAGGGGCATGCTACTGGCTTGTGTTCAACTTGTCCACCAGGACGCCAGGTCTTTTTCAGTGGAGCTGCGGTCTAGGTAGTCAGTGCCCAACCTGTACTGATTCATGGAGTTATTCTGTCCCAGGTGCAGGACTTTCTGTTTGAACTTCATGTGGTTTCTGTTGACCCGTTTTCTGTTTGTTGAGGTTTTTCTGAGTGTCAGCCTTGCCCTCCGGTCTGTGGGAGACTATGATGACAGCTTTGCTAAAATCAAGGTCCAATCAATGGACCAATTTGGTCCAATCCAAATCAGTGACATCCACTGCTCTCCCTCATCCACAGAGCCAGTCATCCCATCACAGAAGACAATTGGGTTGGACAAGCACGATTTGCCTGTGATAAATCTGTGCTGGCTGTTCCCATTCACTTCCTGTCCTTCATGTGCCTGGAAATGGCTTCCCAGAGGACTTGTTCCCATGGCCCACGGAACGAGGTTGGGCTGACCAATAGATCCTCTGTCTTGAAGATGCCTTTTTCCAGTCAGCTGTTATTTCTGAAACATAAAAGTAATGTAATGCCAATATGAGCTGTTTCACTGCAGATTCTTTTAGCAGAAACATCCAAACAATGTGCCTTTCCAGCAGTACCAAACTGCCACTTCTGATGCCAAAAGCTCCAACTGTCCCTTTCCCAGCTGCCACACTTCCTCTTTTCCATGAAACAACTTCTACAATGCTTTTATGTGTTTTCTATGTAAAAATTTATAGCATATGGAAAACTAAAAGTGTGGGACTGTGTAGCGTTGGATTGCACCAAGTAACGCTAGGAGATAATATGCTGGTGGCAGAACTCATGTTCACAGTTAACTTGTTACAAAATTCCACCATAAATTAAATGTGGAGCTGCCCTGGAGCCAGGGCAGAGTGCTACAGAAACCAAGGACTGTAGTGCTTGCTCAGTATAGTGCTTTACAAGACGGTATGCTACATTAAAATTTGAGATCTTGAGTAAGTGTCATACGTGCGGTCACTTCAATGAGCTAGAAATAATGTCGTCTGGCTTGAAGCACTGCAGGATAATGAAACTGCATAAAAAATGCTTGTCTTACCTAACGCAGTATTTCAGCAATATGTGTTTGCTAACTCTTTTGAGAAGTTTAGTGAATTTTTAACATAGTAAAGGGATCTAAATAAAGCTCAGACTCCACAGTGTGTTTGTATTCAATCCTTTCTGCACATGCTAAGCGCTGTCCTGTCTAAACTAAATCTTTCAAATCGATTAGCCAAATCACACTGTTTTCTGATCAAGCTGTTAGAGAGCAGATGGTTATGATTTGTCATCTAGACTGGCATTAAGAAGATATTGGACTATCTAGGGAGTAATCTTTACATTCTGGAAGATTTGCAGGAGGAAGCAGTCTGTCCATTGAGGGACACTACCCACCTCAGGTTTTGTGCTGGAATACCAAGGATGACATCCTTGTGACTCGTTCCTATTCCACCATATTCTTTCTTTGGGCTAATATTTCTGCCCACATCAGGCATCTTGTGAGCCTGTAAGCCAAAATCATAGCCCAGAAAACTTGCAGTATGGGATAAGACGTAACTTCATAAAGCAGAAAGGGAAGGGTAGCGAGGTTATCAGCAATGAACCAGCTGCTTAAATTTCTTCTGTCATGTTTTCAGTATTGCAAACTTTAGTGCTTGCCTCTTAAATAAGTACTTCCTCAGTCATTAAATAGACTTTTGTATGTGTTGGTTTAAATTTGAAAGGAATGGAAACGTATTAATATTTTTAGAGTCATGTGTTTATGGCCCAGTCAGTCCTGGTACAATACAGCAACTGTACAATGCCAGTGTTTTTATCCTGTCTAGTTCAAACTGCAGTTAGACGGTTATACTGAAAAATAAAAACAGCGTTTGGAATACTGTAAGCATAACTTTAGGAGAGCTTTCAAGAAGCTCTTTGAATTCTTAACAATCAGGACTTGGTTATATTTACAGAGTTTTGTGGTGGAGATCGATTTTTAGAGCAAGCATGGTTAAATACTGCTGAGGCTGAAACTCAAAACTTGGCTCACCTGCAGCTGCCCGGGAGGATCTTAAGCTACAAGTTACGCACTTCTGAAACTCTGTGGTTTTAGAAATCTCTCCTCAGTGAATATTACAGCTTGTAATCTCTCCTTGAAGTTCGTTCAAGGACTCGTAGTCCTTGAACTGTTAAAATGGCAATAGTTTTTATTAGTCATGCATGCCTCAAAAATTAAACTATTTAAAATATGTAAATAGATGATCAAAGGAAGGCTTATCTGTACCCTGAACTGCTGAAGGAAGCTTGGATCTCAGCCTGGGTGTGTTTCACCTCTGTTCAGAGGCATTTCCCTGGTGTAGTGTGGTCTTGCGCGAACAAATATGGCTTATCATGAGGAGGAGTAGAGAATGAAGAAGAGTGTGCATTTTACAGACTGCACAGGAAATGATCAGTATCAAAGAAACCTTTAAATGCCTGACAGACGCTATTGGTAGCTTAACAGATGCACATCTGAGAAGTCCATCAAATATTCTTATTGCTTTCCACCCAATGGAGTGTCTAAAGATTTCCAAGGAAAACTATTAATAGTTTTATCGAGAAAAAGTCATTGTAAGTCCTGTTTGGTCCTGTAATATCATTCTGCTTAGAAGTATAATATGTGCCTGCTTGGATTAAAAATGCAAAGATTTATAGCTCTGATTTGCTGAAGTGTGTGGGCTGAAAATCTCTAGTTTCCTTGGGACCATTCAGAAGTAATCACATATATCATGATCTATCTCTGTAGGTCGATGTGTGGGCGCGCTTCAAGTCTGCATTACTGTCATAAAAGGATTATGGTCTATTAGATTGTGGTGGAGGCTGTTTACCACTTAGGGCCACATCTTTAAATCCAGAGTATCTTTTTTACAAAACAGCTTCCATTCCATCTTCCCCACTCAGTTATGGAGACTGAGGGGAAACTATGGTTAATGGGAAAGTTACAGCTAAGTTTATACTAGAGGTGGGGAATATACAGATAACTCAATATTACTGTGAGTCTAGAGGTACATGACATATAGTGATATCAAAATTACTGGACATTAATACTAGTCTAGTGCCTTTTTTTTTCTCTCTCTTCCTGCCACCTCTTGTGCCCGTGCTCTGTCCATTTGTTCCCCTTTCCTAATGTTTAAGACACTCCTTTCATTGTCACCTAGAAAACTGCTAGAGCAGAGCAGAATTTACAGCCGTGGGCATAGCTGGGGTACTCAGATCCTGAGAGGGCAAATAACTTTGTTGTGATGGGAGAAGAGAAGGTGTCAAAGCACCACCTCATTGTGGGGTGAAGTTGTAAAGTCTCAAGCCTTAATCTGCTAATGAGGTTAGGTCCACTGGGACAAGAAGGGGTAGGGAAGGGAAGGGAAGGGAATCCTCGTTCACAGCTCCTCGAGCTTCACTGAGACTGTATCCGAATGGTCTCAGTAGTTATTAGTTTAGATATATCTATATATTTATTTAGTATAGCTATACTGGTATTAATATATTAGTCTGTATATTAATATGTTAGTATAAATAAAGGTGATATATAGGCTATTGCCATTACTGGCTTAAACATTCAAGGGCCAGTTACTTTGAGCTCCGTGTCTCATCTGTGAAACGTCTGCTGGGGTTTTTATAATGCTAAGCACAGTAGTGCAACAGCCTACCATCAAATTACAACAACCAGTAGAGATGAAGAAGAATTTGAGCCTTCCAATTTTAAGGAATAGTGCAAGATAATTCTTTCCTAGTGTTCTGTTAACCATGTTGATGGAAGAAATGTGTCAAGTTGTATTTCTTGGATAAAAATAATCTGAAATTTAAGAAATTAGCCTTAAGAACCAACATTCAGATCTAGTTCTGCAGTCTGTACAAAAATAATAGTGAGTATTATGGAAATCAGGTGCAATGCAGGCTGATGCATAAACTGGAAAAATACATATTGGCGTAGATGACTACCTCTTCCCCAGATGGTGGAATCGGAAGTTGTTCCAGTTCATGCTAGCTGAGAATGCCCCACATGGAGCATCATTACCCTTAGTGTCCCTATAACTTTACCTTAATTAAAAACATATCCTTTGATGTGATACCAAATTGAAGGACTAGCTCAGAATTTCTCATGTTTATAGATGGTGTGGGTATTGTGTTACCTTGCTGGTGATCTTTCATTGCTTGGTGAGGTCCTGCAGAAACTTTATATTATTACCGACAGCTGAGCTGGCAGATCATTCTGCAGTTTTCCTGCCTTGCTGCTAGACGATTCAACATAAAGGGAGATGCTTTTAAAGAGATTAAAATTTAAGCAAAATTGTTAATATATTTGTGTTTTGCAGGGCTAAACGGAAACAGGAGCTGCAGCATTTAAAAAAACAAAAAGAAGATGAGGCTCTAAAACAGCAAATGCAACTGCAGAGACAGAGGGCCATGAGACATTTCCATGAGCGACAGCTGGCCTTACTGGAAATAATCCATGCCAGTATGATTTATATTAAACTATATCAGAAGATTAAACTGTCTGGGTCTCTGTAAGAATGTTTTCTCCAAATATATTTCCTAATCTTGCATGTCTATTTTCACTATAGTCTTACTGTCTCTTCTGACCCAGTTATCTGATGGAGAACATGCTAATTTGTCAAGGGATCGGTAACTTTGCCAAAGACATGGTGGCATGAGATCTGTTGCCTTCAAAGACAGTGCAGGGGAAAGGGAGACCCAGTTTTCTTGTGTTTATAAAGCTCCACTGTGGCTACAATTCTTCTCTAAGAGATGGCTCACAACTAGTTCCTTGCCTTTGATTTAGAATTAAGAGGGTTTTTTTAACTGATAGCACCCAACCTTTTTGGTATGGTCTAGTAGAAGGATTAAAAATGTAAATTGTTAAGAGATCACAACCCACAGTCTTATAACTGGATTTTTGTCACGTCCTTAGGTCAGGTAGATAAGCACATGCAGGAAATGGAGAGAAAATCAGCATTAACTATCCAGAGATTCTGGCGAGGATATAGAGCGAGAAGATATTTTCATCAACAGAAGCAATCTCTTAAGGAATATAAAGCAGCTGTCATCATTCAGAGAGCGGTAAGTACATAAATTTTGTTCTGGCAATAGTTAGAACTGAGCGGATTATTGCGATGCCTCAAAAAGCTCAGTTTGTTTACTTCTCTTAATGGCAATTGAGGAATACTTTATTCCAAAATTGTTCAGAAAATAGACCTAGAGCCCCAAGTTTTTTGGAGGGTTTACACCTCACATAAGTTAAAAAGTATCATACAATTTTGTAACTAAAATATAAAAGCTGCCACTTTGAAACCAAAGGCTGGATTTTCTACGCACCTCAGATAAGCTAGTAATTTATTACTGTGAGGGTGGTTGTACACAGGAAGGAACAGGTTGCTCAGAAAGTTTATGAAGGCTCCTCTATCCTTGAAAATATTAAAAAACTGACTGGACACGGTCCTGGATGACGTGATCTGTCAGATCCTGCTTGAGTAGGGGGGCTGAACTAGACAATCTCTAGAGGTCCCTTTCACCTTCATCTATTCTGTGATTCTGTGTTTATTAGTATTCTAGCTTATGATTTAGTGTTCATGCTGACCATCCTATCTTGCCTCTTCAACATTATAGCTAAAGTTATGTTTTAACAGATACAGTACTGGGAAATTTCTCTTTAACTGACTGATTACAAACAAAATAAGAAAACAAAATTTCTTATGGGTGATTACATTCTCATTTGTTCTTTTTTAAGGCTTGTAAATTCTTGGAAAAAAGAAGGAAAAAGAGAGTTCTCTCTCCTTGGAAAGATACCAAAGGACTTACTGATGAGCAGAGACTGGCTTTAAAGCAGAAGGTGGATGACTACATCAAATTGCATCCGGTCTGTTTCTCAGTCATTTCATAATTCCTATTATCCATGCAACATAACACATTGTAGGGATGAAATATATTCAACTTTATAAATTCTGATCAAGATAATATATGTGAGGTATGCATATATTAATCCTGCTTGTTCAAGAAGAGCAAGGTACTAGAAAACCGGGGGTTTTAACATTAGTCTAGTAAAACTGGTCAAAGCAAACTGTAATTGGAAAAGCATATAGACTTGATGATGAATAGCTTTGGAGGGAACTCCACAGGAAGCTAAATGATTAAGTAAATTAACAATTAAGAACAGTATTTGCACTTCTTGTTTAGACATTTACCCACAAAAGTTTTAAAACAGCCAGCTCTTAATGTTGATGAACTGTTATGTTCCTCCAGGCTTCCCAAATGTCAGAAGAAATGAGTAAAGAATTATATACACAGGCCCAGGAAAAGCTGGCGCAGTTTCTTTTGAGGAGCAGTCTGGATCGGAGAGCAGCGCAGAGGAGAGAGACATTACTGGCTCAGGTCAACACTGATGTGGAGCTGCTAATGAGTATGTGATTGCTCTAGAGACATAGTTTTGCTTACCATTTGGATTGAACTAATTTTAGAGGGAAAAGTATAGGATTAACCGTGAACAGTGTAAAGTCTTATTTCAAAACTGAAATATTTTTCTTCCTTTACCATATGCCATTTCTTGAGATACAAATCTCTTTGTTACTGATTATCCATATTTTGCCATAAGTTAAGTATATATATACACACTTGCTTTGCAAGTCATGTCTCATTCTTCTGTTGGAAGTATTTCTCTGATATGTTTGCAACAAAAGCAATGGCCCTGTAAAAGGCATTAAAGTCTCTAGGAAGAAGATCTTACACAACCCCTTACACTACATTTGATTTATCTTCTTCTGTTTTCTTATTTTGTAAGTAAACTGTTGGTTGATGTATTCTCACCTCTTCCAGATAAGGAGGAATATCTCTGAGCTATGCATTCTGAGTCACGTCTTCATTTTCACTGACCTGGCTGTATTTGTAACGGAATTCACTATTATGCCATCTTAATTCCAGACAAGTAGCCTGGAATGAAAGGGCGAGAACAGCAAACTGCAGCCACCAGAGAGCACCCAAGCAGGACAAAATTCAGCAAGTTACTGAATTCTGTCACTTAGTCTGTCACATGCTGTGCCGCTGCAGCTCCTCGCTCCCTGAACTGGCAGATCAGCAATCTCATGTTGTGGTGGAGCCCCCATGCAGGGATGATGCAGTGATGCTGCGCCAGGGCAGTGGAAACACTACAGTGGTGTCACCCTGCCCCTGGAGTGCTGATCCAGCAGTAGTGACTAACAGTAACTCCTCCTCCTCTTAGATCATAGTTTTACAAGCAATCTGTTTTGGTGAGTGCCAGTGCTGCCCACAAAAGAGGTAGTCCTGCTTTTCCCCTTGTTCTGTCTTCTCCATTATGTGTTTTTTTTCAGGTTAGCCTTAATTTGGATGGCTTCTCCTACCTACTTTATCATGTAGCCATAAAATACTAATGCCAGCACAGGGAAAGGAATGACCCAGGACAGTGGGAGGGTAGGGCTGCTTCTTCTTGGTTTAAAATATTCATAAACTGCAGCATAAGAAACAAAATACGGAAGTCTTTTTCTCCTTGTCGTTACAGATGCTCCAGGGCTAGCAGAGACCACAGAAAAAGATCTTGATATCTTTATGAGTCGGTCAGTCCCTGTAGCTACCAAGGCCAAACAATCTCACAACAGTATGCTGAAATACACCTGCTGGCCATGGTGGAAGAAGCTTGGAGACGAATTTGTAGAGGATGATGTCATTCCTGATGAAGCCCTGAATGCAGAACTGGGAACTCTGTTCATTGGTGGAAGGAAATCTTTTTAGTTGACAAGCAGAAGAATCTGTTATTCACTCATCCAGACTCATTCCTTGTATTATGCATTTATGTGCATGTGTTTTTAAACAAGGAAAACACTTGAATTCTAAGACAAAGCACTGAAGAAGACCAAAGGTTTATTTTATTGCACTTTATTGATCTTATTAAGAATCTCTTCTGTAACCTGCTACCTGCCATCCTGTGCATCAACAGTAAATTCCTATCCACTGTGCTGTTACAACTAGGATTTAATTAGTGTAGTTGTAAATGAAGACATTTCATAAACTATATCACTTTAAGTGTATAATCTTTGGCTTTTTAGTTATTATTCATACTTGGATTCATCACCAAAGAACCACACCATTGTAAAAGGCTGGGCTGTTACAGCAAAACATTTTATTAAGTGATGTGCTTTGAGATAACAGTGGGTTCACAGAACAAACCAAGACATGAAAAAGAAGTCAAGCAAGCCCTGGCCAGGCTGGACGCTCACAGCAGGACAGAACGCTGCACTACAGCTAATTGCAGTTAGCACAGGCAAAGCTTGGCCTGAGAAATCTCTACTAGCCTCTTGCGTAAAAATAAATGAAAAACTATTTAAAAGATACCTCTAGAGGAAGGCAAAACACAAATGTGATCTCTTTGGGCTATGTCCCCACAATGAGGGGGAGGCAGGTGCTGCAGAGCATGTTAGGGCTGCTGAAAGCCCGTGCAGGAGCTTAGAGAGCAATTTGCCTTTTGATCAAGCCCCTTCACGCTGCTGAAGAACACTGAATGTTTTAAGAGGAAAAAAGCTACTGTCTTTAAAGAAAAAAAAAATCACAGCCCTGCTTTTCAGTGGGTAAAACTTCTATTCAGTTATATAGATAATCACATTCTTCTCACAAGCCAGGAGAGAAAAAAAAGAGAAGGCTATTCTTGGATTTATATGTTTGTTTTAAGAGAATGCAGTTCTTTCCTCAGCCAGTACAGAGCATTATAATATAGGTGCAGTCCAGACTGTTACACAGGACCATCTGGATCATCAGCTCAGTGTTGTTGAACTATGCAGACACTGTTTAATCCAGAAAGTTCTCCAGCACAGGGCCTCCACGTTTACTGTGACCCAGTCCATAGTAACAACCTCTAGTAAAGGGCCAAAGGCTGCTGCTTATAGGCGTGCCTGGAACACAAGAACCGAAGGCCACAGCTAGTGGTGTAGGTGCCTGCACCTACTAATAAGAGTATTTATTAGGTGAGAGGCCCCGAATCTTAAGCGTTAGATCTCACCTCACTGCAGAGGAAATAACACAATGATTTCTGCCAATTGTATGTGGGCAGCAGTAGTAGTTCAGTGTTTGTTTTTCATCCTCTTTTGAAGGTTTTGAGTTTTAATTTCAACAGACATGAATGGAAAACAAATACATAGAAATAGTGGGCAGAGGCCCAAGGCCATTCAGATGCAGCCAATACATTAAAATTAATAATCGGACAGCTGCCAAGAGGAACAGCCATGCTCTGCGTTAAATTTTTTAACAGGAGCTGTGATTTGGAAGGCACTGACCTGGCTCTCAGTCCCCTTCTTGGGAGAATTAAGTGGTGGAACAATCCATTAAGCATTTGCCAGTACATTTGCACATCTGTTGACTTACATGTTGTTCTGCATAGGCCTGTTATTAGTTTTAGGCCATGCCGATAATAAGCCCTACAAACACCAGAGTGGAGGGGCTGGTGGGAGGAATCACCAAATGCTCCAGCAGCTGCAGTCCCAACCTTTGGGGAGCTGTAGTGCTGGAAGATGCCCAGCGTCTTGGGATGAACTGCAGCAAGCCAGCTGTTCACTCCCAAATACCAGTCCTTTGTGCGCATCTTTGGCCCCTCTGCTCTACAGACAGTGACCCGGGCTATTTTGAGACAGCAGCCTGCGCTGTATGCTTATTCCTAATCACCCTCATTATATAACAGCTCTTTAGCGCAGAGGAATGTTCGCAAAGGTGCTTTGCTTAATGTATTCTATGTAAGGAGATGAGCCCCCCCCCCCCTTGTTAAATACCGAGTGAATTACAGAGGCAACTAACCAAAAAGACATTTATTGTAATGTTAATGGCCTCTGCCACTCACTGCCATTGGAATGGATAATGAACTCCCCCCTTGGAATATGCAATTTTCTGGATAATGGGTTTTTTTTTTAACGCTAATAAGAGAGTCTGGTGGAAGGTGCTGCCTTGCTGGAGGAATTCAAGTTGCAGGGTCATTCATCATCAGTCCAGCAGTGCAACTCCCCCACTCCACCACTGCCCTGATAAATAAAAATGCCTCTTCTTACTTTGTGCTTGTCACCAGGAGATCTCAATCAGCTCCATTTCATAGACCAGGGAAACTGAGGCAGCAGAGCTATGACGTAACAAGCCTATGGCCATTTATAACCAGGAGCAGACCCACATCTCAGCGCTTGGACAGTGCTCTTTCCGCCCATGATACTGCCTCCCACAGCCATGGGGCTTGCACAGCTGCTCAGCCTCTGCCCAGCCCTGCGCCCCAGTGCAGCCTTTCACTTTTTCCCATTAGTGTCCCAGGCAGAGCAAATCAGAAGCAAGCAACAGCAGCATGCCAGGGATGCTGCCCCTCTCCACCAGCTGCTGGACTGTGGCTAAGCATGTTAGGCAGAGCCAGAAGGAGCTGTCAGGTGCCAGCTTCTAGCCAGCTTTGAGCCAACAACCTAGCTTTAGAGATCCCTGAGCTCCACAGCCCCTTCCCTTTACTCACAGGTGGGAGGGATTTGGCAGGGCTCAGCTAATCCTCGTTTCAGGTCCTCCTGTACCATGTACAGGACAGGGGGACTTGAGCTGGGGATTTCACTGGGGCTCTTTCTGGGATAAAGTACCCCCGCCAGAGCAATGGAAACACTCATAGGCAGCTGAACAGAGCCCACCTCCAACCTGCTGCCAAGGGAACAGTCCTGTTTGGGTTATGTTAGCATTCACCCAAAAAAGGGCTGTAGGACAGATCATGACCAGGGAAGGATCCGGTCCTGCTGCCACTTGTGGTACTGCTTGCCACAGACCACAGGTATGCCCAGAAAGCTAGGGAGCTACAGTTCCTCAGGCATAACGTGCCAGACATAGTTGTCCAAATAGGTAGCAAAAAGGGGCTGCATTTGGATATTCCCAGCAGGCCTGGCTGTGCCACTTTGGATACCAAACAGACCTGCCCAAGCAGCCTGAAGAGGGACTGCTGCTTGCAGCAGAGAAAGCGTGGGGGTGCTCTCCACTGCTGTGGGGGGAGAAACCTTCCCCAGCCCTGATGAGGCAGAGGGACAGAGGTGAGAGGGACAGAGGTGAAGCCGGAGCAGAGAAAGCAGCAGCATTCAGGTCATTAAATATTGACGCAGCCTAAGCTGGCCTGTGGGGGCGATTTAGCTGAATTGCAGGTTGCTGTTGCTGTGATAAATTGGACCAATTTGTCATGTGCTTTTGTTTCTTCCCTCCCTTAAGTAAAGCTATACAGGACTGTTATTGCTACAGCTTCAGCAACAACAAACAATCTGGAGAACAAAATCCTCTGATGGATGAAGAATCCTCTGATGGATGAAGAAGGGACAACAATTGTTCCCCTGCTGAAGGTGCCAACAGAGAGTCACAAAGCAGGAAGATGGCAACAAAAGGAACCAAAAAATTCATAGCCCTTTCAGAGCAGGAGGCAAAGCAGTGTCCTCCGCTGGCTTCTGCAACATCTGTTGACACAAACAGATTGGTTTTTTTTTTTCCAGCTTTAGCTGTAATTTGACTTTGCAAACAACAGGATGCTCATCTCCAGCAGAGATGCAGGCATGAGCTTGAGGCTGTGCTGTTAGATCCAAGAAGGTCTCCTGGCCTTTCAGACCAGCTGTAACCAGCGCACTGAACGGAGGACAGGCGATAACCCCCACACTAGCTATTTCACCTCTCAGCTCTCTCAGTCTTGTAGTGCTGATTTCCATGGGAGCAGAATCTGGTACAAACATCTGCTCTCCACTGCAGAATATCATGTACATCAAGCACAAAGAAAAACGAAAGCTTTTCCCAAATAGCAGAATCAGGGCTGTTTATGAATTAGCATGTGTAAGAAAAAGAGGCAGCAACACACCTGGCAAATAATGAGGCGGCTCTTTGCATGGGGAGCTGTAAAGATCATTGCAATAGGTCTCCAAGTTCTCCTTATTATTGTTCATAATAGCGCAATAACTCTGGGTCATCCTCCAGGCATCCTTGATCACACTGAAAAATGCTTAATAAAGAGATCATTCAGCAAATGATCGATATACAGGCTGAGATTTAACAAGGAGAACTAAAGGATGGGTGCCTCCTGTCCCCCTCCCTGAACACAGGGCTGGGTTCACTCTGGCTCCCTTCTTAGGATGGGAGGACACAGTCTGGCAGGTGACGACCTAGGTCAAGACACTGCGGCTCGCAATCTTTTCCCAGCTGTGCCAGAGAATTCCTCTGTGACCTTGAGCAAATTCTTTCTCTGTCTCTGTCTTTTCCTCTTTAAAATGCAGCTAAGTGAGGAGGTTTCATGTGTTGCTGTCTGTAATTTGTTTTAAGACTCTTCAGTGGAGGATGCTGTATGAGCCTAAGGCTACCGAAATCCCTTTCTATTAAGTTGAAATGGGAGTTTGACAGGCCTAAAAAAGAAAAACATTTGTATAATCAGATGTTGAACACACAGAAAGAGCTCAGGCCTGCCATGCTATTTCTCTCTGCAGTATTTAGTTCTGCTCTTTTTGATTACATCTTTAAACAGAAAGAATTCCTTTACCCATGCTGGATCACTTAATAAAACCCATAAAAATGAGAAATTCTGATTAGGGAAACTTCACTGAACACATGGTACCAACTCATACAGAACCTATCTGTTCAGAACAAGATGGACATACACGTATACAAGATGCATAATAAGACACAGCTCCATCTGGTATTACATGTTAAAGCCAGTGAACTGCAACACTTAAATCCCAGATACAATCAAAGCAATCATTGAGTTGCCAAGTTCTCACTGTCTAAAAGGGAAGAGGAGTTCAGTCTGGCACTATTATCCCTAAAATTAACGATGAATTAAAATAAAATAGAAAGGTGCAAATGCAGAATGCAATGCAAATGCATTGCTATGCTCATGAAAAGGGTAAAACGTCGAAGGTATTACCATTTCCTTGGCTTTATTCTCTGAGCAGCCCCACTGGTTTGAGTGAGACTACCCTTCATGTGTAAAAAGCCTGTGAAGATTTTACAAGATGATACAGAAAGATAATCATCAAAATTAATCACCAAAGACATGCTTGCTTAATATTTAAGACAAAAGAACCTGCAAGCTGTGATCAGATCATATTAAGGACTTCCAACATGTTTAATCTAATAAAGATACCCGAGAAAAATCTACTGAACCTGCAAAACGGAGGATCCCAAGAAATGTAAGAGGAAAATAAAAACTAACTGCAAAACAGCTTTCTTATTAACATCTCAGAAATCATTAGGCAAGGACGGAGGAAGGGTTCAGGAAAGGTGTTGGCTGGTTCTGAAATACGCCAGAATGAGACAAAGCTGTTGGGGTGCGGAGCTCCACCTTCCCGGGAACTTCAGAGGCGCCTCCGGCTCCTCCTCCTCCTCCTCCTCCTCCTCTCCGTTTTGACTGCAGTGAGATCAGGAAAAACTATTGGCTTTTCCCATACACAGCTATTCACGACGCCTGCAGATGTCACTCCCGGAGCTGTGCAGAGCTGGGACCCTCTCTGTTTTTACCAGTACAAGGGATGAACGAAACGATCAGCGGTGCTTACAGGTCAATGCTTCGACCCGGCGTCTGAGTTAATACCATACCCCAGATAAAACAATCTTCTGCCCGCTCCGCTCTTGTTCCAGGCCCTCTGCAAACCCCAGGCAAACGTCTCTGCAGCGGTTCCGGTCATGCTTTTAGGGCTTCCCTCTTCCGAGCACAGGTACGCTACGAAAAATAAAGCTGCCGCCCCCCACCCCGCTCCCCACACGCCGGC